TCGTGTCCGGGGAAGGACTGAATCAGGTCGGAGCAGAGCTCCATCTCCTGGCAGAGGAGGCCGGGCGCCCGCTTCTCGCTGGCCGCCCCGGCCCCCGGCAGCTCCCCGTTGTGGGGGGGGGGCGCCGGGGGCGGCCGGCAGGGGCTGGCTGGGCTCGGCCAGCAGCTCCTTGAGCAGGAACTGGCGGTAGTGGAAGCCGCTGTGGTCAGACACGTGCATGGACACCCAGGGCCGCGTGGACGACAGCTCGTCGTGGAGCACCTGCAAGACGCACAGAGCTCCAGCACACGGCCAAAACCCCCCCAGAGAGTCCCAAACTCTACTGCTCATTTACTAGCAAGGTACGAAATGACCGATCGATTGTGCACGATCGTGCACACTTTATTGTCCAGGCGTGAGAAAATCAAAAGCTTTTAGCCTGTCGTGCTCAGCTCCGTGGGGTAGGACGGGTCGAAGATTATATATCAAATCCATGCAAAATAAACAGGGAATCACACCAAAAAAAGCATTTTAGTTTTAAATTCCTCGTCCCTCCATATTATCCTGCAGTTTATCATCATTTCTATGAAATCGTTGGAGGCCTGACGTGGTCGCGCCGCCAAGCGAGAGGAGCTGAAAACGTTTTTAATAATATTAAATGATAGCACAGTGACCACAGCGTTCCAGGAGACCATTTTCTGTGTGTTGGTTTCGGAATATGAGGCCACGTGACGCGAGGCTACGAAGAAATATTCAGATTTAGTCTGCTGGAGCCCACATTCAGAGTTGTTAGCCCTGCTGTCTAATACCAAATTCCCACAAATTTCGAACCCTGTTTACTAGCCATTCTTTCTTTGGGGGAAGAAAGAGAAATCTGTTCTATTTTTTCCTTTAAAAAAAAGGCTGAAAATCCCCTTCAGACATGCGATTGGCAGTAATGCTTTGACATGTCCTCAGACGGACATTCGGCTCATTACTAGTTTGCCTGCTACCAGGGTTCGAAATTGGTGGGAATTCGGTATTAGCCAGCGGGGCTAAAGTTGTTAGCCCTGACAGCAAGTAGCAGCCCGATTGGTCCTATATTGGTAATTTGGTATCCTGCTGCTACATTTATCTATGGACCTGATCCAGAAGCCCCACAGGATCTTTAGGATCCACCCCCTGCCTGCATCTCCCACTTATACCCTAGGACACTACTGGTGCTTTCCCACTGCCTACTTATCTCGGCTCGGCTCTCCTTTCTGCCTTTGCCCTAAACAGCTCCAGCCTCGGGGCCCTGCTGGAAACATTGTGCAATTCCCCGTGTGGGGGCTCTGCCTCCACGCTGCTGTTCAGGTCGGTCTTCTTCTCCGGTCTGCTGGCAGCACGTGACACGTGGAGAGCTCCTTTTCTTCGCCTGCACCTTCCTGAGGTCTGCGGTTACCTGCGCTGGTTCCTCCACTCTCATGTGGACTTCAGTTCCCCTAACCGGGCCTAGAGGCTCCAGTTAACTAAAGACATCTCGAGATCTTCTCACGACTCTTAAATTAAACAGCGTTTTATTCCATTGTGCTAACGGACTAGCTGTGGAGGCAATGCCCGGCACCAGCTATTCTGGAGACTTCCTCTTTCCTGGTTGGTAATAAGGCTGTAATAATAAGGCTGTAATATTAAGGCTGTAATAGACTCTGTTCTGATGTGATCGCTGTACCTTGAGGTTGCCTTTGGCCAGGTGCTGCAGCACCCAGATGCGGTGGGACCAGGCGTTGTAGTTGCTGGGGTAGCGGCCGGCGGCGTCCGAGCACACCTTCATCTCCTGGTGGAGTGTGCGGGCCAGGCGCTCGCTCAGGTGCCGGCCCCGCTCCGCCTCGGCCGGGCCCCCCTCGCCAGGCTCCGCCCCCTCCGGCTCAGCCCCGCCCGGCTGCGGGCTCTTGTGGCGCAGGATGTGGTGCAGCACCCAGCGTCTGCGGGGAGACGGTCCGTAAAGACAGAGGGTGATTACCACTTTTTTATTCATTTTTAAAAACACCCGGCAACTGGTCAGCAAAGTCCAGCCGTCGTCTGCTGCTTTCTACACGCTCTGCTTCAATCTGTGCGTCCTCAAAGGCAGTTCTCTGTTTAAGTTTTGGTTTGAGCATTTCTATGAGGCAACTGCATGCTTTAAAACGGAGGTCTTCAACAGGGGGTCCGCGACCCCTAGGGGGTCTGTGGAGGTACTGCAAGTTTTGGTTGATTAGAGTTTCTTTTTTTATCCCCCCTTGAAATTTTTTCCACCAATGTAAATGTGTTTAAATCCACATAAACATGAATCCAACAGACTGTAGTAAACGGATAAATGGAGGCAGAAAATGCCTTCCAGTCATCAAAGCTCACATTCAGACACACACAGGAGCTCTTTCAAGCTGGGCCCCGTTTCATTCACATCACCTGTCCCACCAACCAGGAACCAGAACCAGATGTTTACAGAAAAAACAGGAAGTTATCGACCTGTTGATTATCTGAGGATCTTAGTACTGAATGCCCAATAACAAGGTACATTTACACACTATATAACCGGTTTGATAGAACACTATTTCAGACAATATATGTAATTAGGGGGTCCCCTTCCATCCCACCATCAGTGTGGCCGGCTCACTTTCGTGGCCTTCCTGAACTAAAGACAGGCCTGCTGGGGAACAGGATGCATTTGGCGGCCACATACGGGAGGTGTCTGAATGTGTGCCTCCCCAACCCGTATCTGAGGATATCAGTGGGGTGGGGGGGTGTGGGTGGCTGATTGACTGATGGGAAAAATTCTAAGCCAGCAGCATAATGAGCTTCCCCCTGCACCACAGACACGAGAAACTCCTCAGGAAGCCGTCAACAAGAAGAGGAATGCATTCCTTAGATTCTCCATTTAGAACCAGAGAAATGCATTTAGCACTTCTGAGTGGAGTGAGACTGTGTGTGTGTGGGGGGGGGTTACACTCTGTCTGGTAAGCAGTCCCCTGCACACTGTTCAGGGTTGTTGTTTTGAGGCTGATTTAGTTTTCAGGAAAGCACAGTTTGATTTAGTTTTCACTAGTTAAGTAAAGATTGTGTTTAATTGCCTTATCTGTATATTTTCTGCATAAACGGTTGTCCTGCGGGTCTTTTGCCACAGAAAGCTCAGAAAAGCTGTAAACAGGTGCGCTCTCACCTGAATGCTCTGAGGTGGTGTGGACTAGTTGCCTGAAACATTTACTTCCTACTTCTTCCTGTCCCTGAAGTAGCCACTACTGGGTCAGTAGCCTTCACAGGTGAACCTTGTCAGCGTTAATTAGTGGAATTTCTTGCCTTCCTAACAGGGTTTGGACCATCATATTCAGCCATATCTGACAACTCTAAGAAGTCGTATTGTGCCAAGAACCAGTCGGCTGAGTAAAGAGAGAGGTGAGTGGGTGGGTAAGAGCACGACGTGGACAAATTGGGCGGCCATGCTTCAAACACAGGTAAGACGGTGCTCACCTGTGTATCCAGGTCTCTGGGCTTTTTGGAAACTTGGTGAGGGCCAGCTTGCCCAGGTACAGGTCCCGTTCTGGGTTAAGAGCCCCACACTGCAGCAGCTCCTTCCTGTGACAACACGGGGAACAACAGCTCCAGTTCAGTGCTGAAAAACTCACGGCTCTGCTTTCAAAGGTAGGGACTACTGATAAGTGGGGAGGGGATGGGGGGGGGGGGTTGTTACCCTACCTGACGTTCCATGCGGTGCTGAAGTCTGGATTCAGCAGCAACAGAGTGCAAGTGATGTCCACCAGAGCTGGGGGGGGGGGCGAAAAAGCACACAGTTAGCTACAGCGTTTTATTTGGAGGCCCTTGAGTTGCAAAATAAAAAGCTCAAAATTAAGTTAAGAATAAAAAGGACTCAAGTGAAATAGCAATCGCTTGATTTTTGGGGGGAAATTAGTCGTAAGATTAGTCAACCAATTGGACTTGAATGTTTTTATATTACTTTTGTAAAATAGGAGAAATTCTCACATTTTATACTGCTTTATTTTATTCAAGATTTTTTGTTTTATTCTTTCAATATTTAGTTTATTTACTTTTGACACACAGGTGACATTTTATGTTTTGGCCCTTGAGTTGCAAAATAAAATGCTCAAAATTACGTGCAAAATAAAAAGAACTCCCTTGATTTTTGGGGGGACATTAGTCGTTAAGGTCAGTCGAACCAATCAGAAAACGAGTCGAAACATTAGCCGTTGGGAAATGAGTCGTCAGGGGCAGCTCTAAACCAACTGAATACAAACATTGAAGGGAGGGAAGGTGTTGTTATCAGAGGAGGGAGAGGCCGTCCTACCGTCCCGGTCCAGCCAGTGCCGGCGCTGGCGGTAGAGCAGCAGCTTGTGGTGGACGTAGGGCAGCAGGAACTTGACGCACCAGCTCTCCACCCCCAGCTTGTTCTCCACCAGCACGATGGGGCTGCGGTTGTAGCGCGCCTCGGGGCACTGGATCAGGCCGATCTCGTCTCTGTGGGGGCAAGCCGGGGGTTGAGAACGAGCCCCTGCCGGAGCTCTGACAGTAGCAAGGCCTTTCCGGAATAAAATCCCAAAATGGGACAGCACCAGAGAAAAACTCCCCCGATTGCTTTTATATTTGGAGCTAGAGGAGTGTCTTTTCAGTATAACTTCTCCACCTTGTTGACCATATTTCTCCATCTGGTTCTGAGAGCAGCCCCCAGACTCACATGGGGGGGCTCAGGCCTGTTGACCCGGCTTCTGGTGAGGGTTCATTACCAAAATGAGCTGCCCACAGAGTGTGTCATGTGGTCACACACACACATAAACACACACGGTGGCTCTGACTCTTACATTTGAAGGCAGAGCACAAGTACAGGGTCCCTACAGGGTCCTACAGGTGTGCTGACCCCACATGCCGGGTCAGCTGACCCCAGCTGACATGTACAGAGTTACAGAGTTAA